TCGGTCCTGGCTCAGTACTGGCTCGGTCCTGGCTCGGTCCTGGCTCAGTACTGGCTCAGTGCTGGCTCAGTACTGGCTCAGTGCTGGCTCAATGCTGGCTTGGTCCTGGCTCGGTCCTGGCTCAGTACTGGCTCGGTCCTGGCTCGGTCCTGGCTCAGTACTGGCTCAATGCTGGCTCGGTCCTGGCTCAGTACTGGCTCAGTACTGGCTCGGTCCTGGCTCGGTCCTGGCTCAGTACTGGCTCAATGCTGGCTCGGTCCTGGCTCGGTCCTGGCTCAGTGCTGGCTCAATGCTGGCTCGGTCCTGGCTCGGTCCTGGCTCAGTACTGGCTCAGTACTAGCTCGATCCTGGCTCAGTACTGGCTCAGTACTGGGTCAGTGCTGGCTCGGTCCTGGCTCAGTACTGGCTCAATGCTGGCTCGGTGCTGGCTCGGCGCTAGCTCCCTGGGCCACCGCCCCGGCCATCTCGCTTTCATGTCTTGTTGCTTTAGCGATGCAATTTGCCGCTCGTGCGTCATTTACCTTCAACGTTCGCACACTCGCACCTGTCCTGACAGCCGAAGCGCCTGTGCCAGTCGGGCTGAACGTGTGGCTCCCTCACAAATGATTCCCAGAAGGCACGCGGCGTTTACTCACTCGTGGCTTGTTCACCTTGGTCCTGAGACCGTCCTCTACGATGTATCTAAACATGTATCCCACACACACACACAGAGGCCTGTGTCTCCAATGCGACCTTAACATAAATCTAAACGGTACCATTTGCTAATTGGTGCTTAAGAACAGCAAGGCATTTCTAACTTGATTTCCAAATGTCACTCCCTAGCATCTGTTTACCATTAAATACAGTAAGTGGGCTTGGGAAGGACAGTGTTATAGAGGGAATGATGGATAGTAGAAGAGTCTGCTGATAGAGCAGCAGCCAAGGGAGAGCGTGGGTGCGCCCGAGAGCACGGCAACCACGGAGATGGAGTGATTAAATTGGTTCGCATGCATCACAGGGCATATATTCGAGCATCGCCAGACAGTGAGGGACGGCAGTGGCATTTGGGGAGGCCTTCGTACAGAATTGGAATCTTGATTCATACTTGAGGAATACAATGAGCTATAAAGCTCTTTTTTACAGATGTCCAGTACATAAGTGGATAGATCGTGGCTGATGGAAATGAATGTAATTTTTTTCATATCTTCAGAACAATTTATTCTAAATGTGTTCCTCTGTTGTGCGATTTGGATGGTATTGTTGTTCACTTTGTCATTCTCGGTTAAGGCTCAATATAAATTACGTTACGATAAGAAGGGATTTTCACTTTTCACAGGATCGTTGTTTGAAATGTAAAACTGCAGTGTTAAGTCTGTGGATGTCGTACACGCTGCGTGAACAAGTGCTGGCTCATGTTGAGGAAATGAAGGTGAGGAGGGGACCAAAAAGGAGTGCAAACGGTTCAGCCGCTTCCAACAAGGGAGCCCCTCCAGCTGCCGTGCCCTGGGCGTGGTCACAACGCCACTTTGTGTCTGTCACTCTCCAGAGAGGAGCTGTGGGAGCCGGTGCGGTGCCACCGCCAGTCCGCAGCCACGAAATTGCTTTGAGCCACGCTCCCGCGCGGGGGCCACGGAGGTGCCCGTGTTGTGCGATTTGGATCGTGTTGTTGTTCAGTTTGCCATTCGCGGTTAAGGTGCGATATATGAACTACGTTAGGATAATATTTTCACAGGAACATTATTCGAATTGTTGACTGCAGCGTTATGTCCGTGGACGTCGCATTCGCTACGTTAACAAGTGCAGGCCGGTGTTGAGGCAGCGCAATGAAGTCGGGCTGCCCCGTCTTCTTTTGCCACACCGCCTTGGAGCGTTCTCACTCTTACCCGCGTGCGTGTGGGTTTCCTCCAGACACACGCAGGTTTCCGTACCGCACGCTCGCTCGTTCGGACAGGGATCGGTTGGACGTCCCGACGTGACGCCCTACTAAAAAAAAACACGGCCTAGAATCCTTTGTAAAGCTCCCCTTGATAAACCAAGAAGTTGCTATCAATACTTGGGTACAGTATTCTACTTTATGGTTTATGCTTGTATTGCTTATTGATGAGTCTGTACCAAAGATTGTTATTAATTTGTCCTCCTACCCTCCACTTTGGGCTTGTTTTATCTTATCCAACATACAAACCTGTGGGCTATCCATGCAACAGCAACAACAAAATAGTCAATAATTCTGTAAATGTGCACGTCTGGCGAGGTAGTGCTGTGGCAGGCTGCTTTACAATGGGGTCACAGATTCAAAAGCTGGCTAACTCAGTCGGATCAGCCGATCATCTCAGCAGGATTCATTGAGCGAGGAACACTTTTGTGTCAAGTCGCCAGCAGTTGCTCAGCGCGCGCGTGCATGCGTGCGTGTAGCGGCTGCCCTCCCAGTCAAAGTGGAATGTCACCCTCCAGCTCGCCAAACGCAGAGCAGCACCGCGCGTCGTTTCCCCCCCCCCGCCCTCGGACGGTGGAGGGGTGGTGGGGGGCCCCCCTCTCTGGCCGGGAGCCGCGCGGGGGAAGGGGGAGGCTCTTAGCGGCCCGGCGGGCACGCTGCCTCCTTCCCCCATGACTCACTTCCTGCCGCTCCGTGCCAGGTGTCTGGTGGGGTGTCGCCGTGGCTCGCGTCTGACCCCACTGTACGCGCCGTGCTCTCCGCCGCTTCCGATCCACAGGGTGCTGCTCAGAAAAAAATCCACTGGCGGGGACCGACTGCTCTCTGCTTGGGTTCATAGTTTAGACTTTAGAGAGTGCGGTGCGTGCGTTTAAAAGGGGAAAAAAAACAATATCCATAACAGAGGTTTACGTGTTAAAAAAACAATATTGGTTGGGATTCTTAAAAAGGGGGTTGATGTTGGTCGTGTTGAATTAATTAATTCTCACGAGTTCAAGTGTTGCCACAAACACGGGACTTGTTCCATGGAGGCGAAGCGTTTTATCCGGTTGATGTTTCTCGTATCCCCCTTTGTTTTTAAAGTCTCCCCCAAGGCCTCATACTTCTCTGACCTCACCCAATATACTTATCCTCACCCTCCCTCTCCACTCCACAATCCATTGGCTCGTGCATCCCGAAATGCGCCCACTACAAAACAGGGCCCAGTCCTCGCAGACATGTTGGATAATCTCCCACACCACTCAAGGGCTGTCGCTTGAAAGAAGGACACGTTTTAGTTTAGCTATAAGTGAAACTATTTTGAACGAATAAAAATGAATATCTGTGTACGTGATTATAAAGTCTGGGTTGTTTTGTTCAGGGCATCGCCTCCGATTAGCAAGGTTGGCTATGTACGGTGCGAAAGAAGTTCAACGTGCATACATCAAGCGGATGGGTTTTCGAGTCCTTTTTGGTTTAACCCGAAAACGGACTGTAGCGATTATGGTAGGTTCAGTTCCATGTAACCGTTCGCTAACAGGACCCTAGAGGTCCCTCCCCCATGCCGTGCGGTCCACACCACAAGCCTCTGCTCCAACTGAAATCCAAACTCAGAATCCCCCCCCCCTCCCCGCACTTCTCCAGTGCTTCTGGCCGAACCCCTCAACCGAATTCCGGTTTTCTCATCGCATTTCTCCTTGGACAAAGAAACAATCCTCAGCCTGCGTTCTGTTCATGATTAGCGCCCGCCCTTTTTTCGTTGGCATCGTTGGTCGAGGGACGTCTGGTGGAATGCACGCGTGGCCTGTTGTGTGGCTGCCGAAGTGCAGCGAATGTTTGTAACGTAGGGGATGGCGCATTGTAAGTGGTGGTGATGCGCTGGGAGGGTTGTTGTGCGCCTAACAGTGCTGTGGTGTTGTGCTGGACACAAAGAGCCGCTCTGTTGCGTTCGCCAGTTCCCCGCGCTCTTGGGACAGTGCGCGCAGGCTTGAGGGCTCTATTACATGATAGGGAAACTTCAGCAAAATCGTTGCTGCCATTGATGTTCCTTGATAACCGGGTGGAAAAAATAAAATCATCAGTTTTGGAACTGAATTCCATAGCTTTGGGAAGTGGAGGATGGGCAACGGCAGGCAGCACGAACTTCCACAGCCCTCCCTCGACGAGGAAAACTGCTCTCTTACAATTGTCGAGGCACGTCTCACGTCTGCAGTACAGCAACAGAACGTGAAGAGAATATAGAAAAGGGGTTTTAATGTCTCCCAGTGGGGGGGGTGTGGGATGCGACTTGCTGAAGCGTCTGTCTGGGTGAAAGATCACGCTCCCAGCTGCTTAACTTGCAGTGCCACCAACAGTCGCAGTTTGTCAACATGTCTGTGCCTGATGTTACCTTTGCAGTGCTTTGCAGTCAGTCCCCTGAGTCACTTGACCGACCCAGCTGGTGATGTGCAAAACAGCTCCGGGCGGGGGGGGGGGGGCATGATGGGGTGGGGGGCGCACAGCCTTGTGTGGTCTGCCGTTTACAGCCCCACCGAGAGATAGCACTCCCATGGGGTGGTCGGCGCACTCGCAGCAGAGCGACTTTGGTGTCGGGTGAACAGTTCAGTTCTCAGAGCTTCTTGGTAATCTTTGCCAGAAATTGCCAAAGCTGCGAAATGGAAATGCGAGAGTCCTTTATGCCATGCAGGGCTGCAGAGTGTGGTGTGGCGGTGGAGGAGGTAAAATTCTAAGAGATAAAATGTAAAAGCAAATGGATATCTCTGCTCGAATGACAATGCGGCATGTACGTATGTAATGTTGAACTTCATTCGCACCGTACGTAGCCAATCGTGCTAATCGGAGGTGCCACATGGCTCATCTCCATTGGAGAGTAAACCCACAACAATTACAATTCGAATTACTAGTACTGAATTGTAAATGTTGTGGGTTTACTCTCCAACACACTGGTGTGCTGAACTAGTAACTAATGTTCACTTTTTTAGTGACAAGCTTTACTAATTGGTCTGTGTCGGGTGGTGGCGGTTTTAACAACACATTTATTTTCACACGATCTAACCCAAAAAACCTCTTTTTTATATTGGTCGCGAAAGCCTATGTGTTATTTATTTTGCAGATGATGTATGGCGTATCTGAAAAACTACTCGACAAATTGTGATGCCTTCAACATGTGTGCAGGTGCGTGAGACGTCGTGAACAGGAGGTTGAACGCGTTATTCGTGGAGTTGTGGCTGGATCCAGTTACAGCTGCAGTGATTTATCCGATAGGGCCAACCTGCGATTGCAATTTGTATCGGGTGCTCGTAGTGAGATAAAAACACTTTCAAGTGCTCACGAGAGAAGCCCCTGCTGCCATGGAAGTCGCCACCCACACACGCTCGGCCGAAATACAAATTCTACCTTGTAGCACTTTTTTTTTACCACTGTTATGGCTGTGAATTGAAGTCCCCTCGGTTAATAACAAACTGGCAGCAGGATATAGTCTAGTGGTCAGCGTCCTGACCACTGAGTCGGTGGTTTATTTTCCAACCCTTTTGTTTCTGCCGGGAGTCGCTAAAGCTGTTGTTGCTGCTGCTGCAAAGTGGGTGCTATATACTTTGTGGTGAGGTCTTCAGTGACTAATTCGCTGATTAGAGACACTGGTATCAAAGGTGCTGACTGGGACGGTGCTGTAAGTCCGCTTGTATCCACACAGTGGCCTGACACCCTGGGATATTGAAACCACAGACGAGTAATCGTGCAGAAGCTGCACTTCCACTCGGCCATTAGCTCTGGGCCCGACCTCTTATCGTCTGGGTTGACCTGTGCAGATTTAAACATAAAAGCAGCTTCCACAATTTTTATTCTTCGTTAATAAACGGTGGCGACCAAATGTTTGTCTTGAGGTAGACTCGGTTGACTTGGCGAAGCACCACCCATTTCATCCCGGGTGGCCAGGGAGATGATGTCAATAGGGACCGCTTGTGCTCGGACCTTGATATGCTTGCGTTTCCTCAGAATTTGTTAGGAACACCTTTTCAAACCCGGCTTCTGGCTCGTTCGTACAATCCATGCAGAATCTAAAAAAAGGCTGCTCTTCCGACTCTGGGTAGATACCCATAGTGGATGATGCTGGACTCAGATGGGCGCACACCTGTGACCTCACGAGTAAGAGAATTGTCAGCCTCAAACTAAAGAATGAAGTGCCCATTAGTGATGGCGTTGCAAGGAACAAAACCTACAGCCTTTTATAAAACGATGGCAGGAAGAGCCACCTGGAGATAGCTACATAGTCTGAAAAGGACAGGCAGGCAAGAGAGAGAGAGAACATACGTGACAGAAGAAGAGTTACAAGACTACATAATCATGGTTGGTGTCAGCATGGGAAGGCTTCCAGTGGGTATAGCCTTACCAAGTAGTTGTGCGTTAGACAAGCTGGCGGTTCTTTGTCTTTCAAGAACGGGTGGTACTACTGTTAGTTCCACGTAGCTTGCTCATTGAGAACCGAGCTGTTGAGAATGAAGGTAACCGGCAGGGCAGAGGGATACATCGGAATACAGGCGTCACTTCAGCACGGCCGTCTCGAGAGAGCCTTGCGCAGGCTTCGCGCGCGTACCCAGCCCTACGTTTGCCTGCATGCCCGGGCCTGCCGAGGCAGCCGGCTTGCCAACATTTTCTCTGCAAAACACAGGATCGTGTGTCGAGCCGTTTGCCGTGCATCGTCACGATTCGCTCCCCTAGAGCCCCTAGGAGAACTGTGGGGCGGAGAGAGCACGGGCGCGCAGATTAATTGGACCAAGGGACTCACAGTTTAGGAATTCTTTGGCCTTTCCTCGAAACCCTTTGAGGAGTTGCCGTTCCTGATGAGCACACGGTTCCAAATGGGAGCGGACCCTGGGAAGCCAGGAATGTCATTCTCGCCGCCCTCTTGACTGTGCCCGGCGAGTTGGAGGGGAGCGCGAACCATCAAAGTCACCTTCCACCGGTCTTGGTCGTCGTGGTGGTTTTTGCCGCAAGGAATGGGAAAGAGGCCGAAGGACGTTCTCGGTCTACGGCAACCGGTGGCGTCGGGTGGGAGCCGGCGTGGACGACGTTTGCCGTAATCCACATCGTTCGTACGAGAGGATCGTGGAAGAAGACATTGCGCTGCCGCTGCATGTTAACCTGCCTGGCACGCTGAGTTAACAGAAGATAACGGTTGGGTGCTATTTTGTTATAGTGGGTGAGATGGAGGGATGAAACGAGCTCCAGTGCGTGCAGTAGGGTAGATCGTCACGGTTCAGGATAGCGATGGATGTCGGAAACTTATCGAGGCCTATATCCAGCAGCGGTTTGGTCATGGCTGATGATGATGATGGAAACTTTAAGTTCTCCTTTCAAATCCCAGCTGCAGGACAGAGTGCCACAATTAGGATTTCAAACCCCCACTCGGGCTCCCACACCTCGGTATAGCCTGACCATATTGTATCCCCCACACCTGCAACCTAGAACACTTGGCAAGCTCTCGAGGTCACCGATTTAAGTACAGCTAACCAGGCTGAAACGCTGCTTAGCTTCCGAGATCTAACAAGCTCGTTCACGTAAAGGGCGGTCCGGGTGTAAGGGAGTGCGCGCGTCCGACTGCGCGCAGCCTTTTGGCACGCGGCTACGTTTAGATGCTACGTAGAGCCACGCTGTGTTGTAACCGCCGCATGAGCATGGTTTGTGTTGTTACATTCGGCCACTGATTCGCGAATGCACGCGGAACAAATTGAGTTTGCTCAGATTCTGTGTTGCCTGTGGGGGTTACGGCCACAGCAGGCCAATCGGATGCGTCATTTTCCCAGCATGTGTAAAGTAGCCTTCAACAGGCTTGTAGATAACACGACGTAGCATATTTCCTCTCTAGGTCAAAGTGTTGTTGTGATATCATGAAACAAAGGTAGCCTGTGTGTGTGTCGGCTGTGTACAACTGCGATGAGTGATGAGGGTGCAGGAGAGAATGGTGACCGGGCAGCTTTGCGTGACGCCTGCATTTTTCACATTGCTTGGGCCCTGCTGTACAACTTGTACGGTGGTCACGGTCGTTACGACTGTTTAGCAAACGGCCTTGGGGGCGCGTCGTGGTTGACGCGCCATCTTATTTTACGCCTTGCCGTTTTCCAAATCGTTTTAGCAGGCAAATGACTACGCACGGGCATGGCGCACACCGGTAATGTTTTGCCACAACAGCGACATTGTTGTCCTGTACACGGGCAAAACCGCACCGATTCTCACCTGTCAACCCATACGGTTCACCCGTATTCTTGTACGGGGAAATTGAAGAAAAACAACTCATGTTTGTCTATTTGTTTGTGTTTCTCCCTTGTGATGGGACTTCGTAGGATGAACGTTGATATTTATAAGGGCACGGGGTGACCAATAAGGTCCGAGTTGGTCTGTAATATGGTAGGCACTGATAAGGAGTTAATAGGTATGGTCTCGACGCTGTCCCACGGCGGTGTTCGGTGGGATGCTCCGTCGGTTCTGAGCGTTTTCGCCCCTGGGAAGAAATCGGGAGCGTCGGCGGGAAAAACCCCGCTCACGCCTCCTGAGGGGAGACCTCCAAAACGCCACCGCACATGGCTCGTTAGCAACCCACTTGCTGCGAAGCACTCGTGCAGGGCACCCTCACTTGCCATAGGCGGGAGCCTCTTGTTGAAATGGGCAATTACGGGGACACGTCCTTTCGTGATCATCAACTGCCAATTGCTGGATTTCGTATTGTTTTGTAGGTGTTCATTGGAAATATCACCGCAAACATGAAATCCTTATCCATAATCGAGGTTTTTGGCTTAGATCGTGTAAATATTTATAAGTGGGTTTACTCTCCCAACACACTGGTGTGCTGTACTCGTAACAAATTGTCATGTTTTATTTACCTGGACAAACCTTACTCATTGGCTTTGTCGGGTGGTGACGGGTTTAACGACATTTATATACGCGATCTAACCCAAAAACCTCTATTTTGGATAATATTGTTCGCGAAAGCCTACTACTGCTACTACTACGTGTTAAAATAAAATCATTACCCAATGCACTAAATTGAGCCACTGGTGGAAGAGGTTGCCCTCCCGCTCAATTTGACAACACCGTTGTGGGCGTTTTTAGTAAGGAAGGCGTCGGTCCCGAGACTCATGTCACGACGACGCGTCCACTCTGGGATGTTCGCCACCGAGCGGGAGGCCACCGAGCGGGAGGCGACCTACTTTGAGGGAAAACCGATAGGGGGAAGATGACACTCAAATGCTCTCCCCGTTTCATTATTCCGAGACCTGCCTCTGCAGTAGAACCCTTCTTAACCACCACCCCTGTTAACGACTAATCGCTTAACGACGGGCCTCCTCCACAGAGCCCAATGTGTAGTGTATAGTGTAGTGTATATTATTGTAGTGTATAGTGTAATGTAGAGTAGTGGAGACTAGAACCCCTCTTCACGACCGGCCTCCACAGAGCCCAATTTGTTAATTTACCGACCATTCCTCTGTTAACGATGGTCTGCAGAAGGTAGACTAAATATTAATTAATGCATTTATTAACCATGTTTATTTTAATATGTGTTTATTATGTTGTTAGTATCTTTATGTATTAATATCCATTGTTTAAATATTAGAAAGTAAGTTTTTTAGGTGAAAAAGGGTAACTTTTCATGCCATTGGAAAGAACGAAGCCTTTAATATGTGTTTCTTATACTCGCTTCATGACCGGTTCCGTGGAACCAATTACCGTTGTTTAGAGGGTTTCTACTGTATAGGACAAGCACGGTGGTTGTCAGTTGTATTGCGTAAAAATGGATCTAAGAGTGGACGCCACGGTGGAGAGATGTTAACAACCTCGCTAGGTATACAGGAGGTCGTGGGTCCAATCCGACCCTTGACGCCTGCTGTATATTTCGAGTGTCTCTCTCCCTGTGATCGCGTGGATTTTTCTCCGGGTCCTCCGGTTTTTCCCTCCACATTTAGAATCAACGTCACGCGCTTAAGAGTATTTGGCTGCCATAAATTTCCACATGACGGAAATCACTTCGTTGAGCTATCATTTGTGATAGCCAGGAGCTGTATAGCAGCTCAGTGGGCCTTACCTGGTAAATAAAAAAGTTTATAGCAAATGCCGCACCATAAGGGCAGAAACCTTCCTGCTGTACTGTCTCCTGCAGGCTTGAATTCTGCGCAACCCATCAACAGACATGCATCACTGCAACACCCTCCAGCATATTCTTAGCTCTTTCGGTAAAGTCACGTTGAAGGGAAACAATAAAATAATAAAATATATAAAACAATAAAATTCTCACGACGTTTCGACCATAACACAAACGGTCATCATCAGGTGCTTTTGATGATGACCATTTGTGTTATGGTCGAAACGTCGTGAGAATTTTTATTGTTTTATATATATTTTATTATTTTATTGTTTCCCTTCAACGTGACTTTACCGAAAGAGCTAAGAAAATGAATTGCTGCAGTCACGAAAGCTTTAAATCAAAACCCTCCAGCATGTCTACAATGTCGAGCGTCAACAGCACGCGTTCAGAAATCGCCTCGGCTGCCGCAAGGCGCTCGGCGCTAGACGCGACCCCTTCTCCCATTCCTCAGGACTTTGCAGTCGACTTTACTGGCTCCTGTTTCAACAGCGCACCCTGTACAAAGTCGCCGTCGTCTGTTACAAAGCACACGTGCGGGGTCCACCCGTCCTGGTCAGCCTCCGCTTATTCCATCTAGCAACCTCGGATCTGCTTCAAGTGACGGCCTGCCTTGTCAAATCCCATTCCTTCGAACCAGACGATTTAAGTTCAATTTGTATGCCTTACAAGTTCTATCAGTAAGACTTGCGCAACTCGCGGAGCCCTTAAGCCACCGTGGCCACGTCATCGTCCGGGGGCGAATGCCACCCTGCGATCGACATCACGTCACGTTTGGCGAGCCTGTTGTGTTAAAGCGCCCTGGCGAGGGGGGGGGGCACGGGGTGTACTTGAGCAAACAAGGGCGTGCCACAGTCGGCACGCGCTCCGCCTTTCTTCCACGCACCCGGCCTCCCTTGGTTTGCGCCTGCACGGCGCAGTCCCGCGGGTTCCGCTTCCGTATTTCGGCGGTAGAACGATCGCACCGAGTCAGGCGCCTGCCCTCCGCGTTTTGACGTCATCGCGCGTGCGCACACCGTGCACCTGTTGCTCGTACACGGGCGCGCGTTCTCATCGACGTGCGTGCGCGTGTCCGTCCCGCCCCGCAGTCTCGCCACGGGAGAGATGAGCGATCCGGGCGGCTACGTGTTCGAGTCCGCGGAGCACGGCGCCGGCGTGCTGCGGCGGCTCGACGCGCAGCGGGAGCGCGAGCTGCTGTGCGACGTCACGGTGCGGGTGGGCGAGCGGCGGTTCCCGGCGCACCGCGCCGTGCTGGCCGCGTGCAGCGACTACTTCCTGTCGGCGCTCAGCTGCCAGCCCGAGCCGCGGCCCGCGCTGTCCCTGCCCGCCGAGGTCGGTCGCATCCGCCGACGCACAGGGCCTAACGTCGTCACCCCCCCCCCCCTCCCCTTCCCCGCACGGCCTGACCGGCCCGGTGACAAACGGCCGTCCTCTTAGTTCACCCTAATTTCTAAAGGCAAAACCACGTCCATTGCCTCCAAAATAAGACTTCCAAGCAACGTAAATAGAAAATAATTGGTTGTTACACGTGCACAAAGCTAGAATGTTCCGTATTTTCCCGCATATAACCCGTGGGTTATACCACATTTTACAAACAAAACAAGACCCTGCGGGGTATATGGAGGTGCGGGCTATCTGAAATTTGTTTTTCACAAAACGCTATTTTTGCGGGTTATATGCGTACGCGGGCTCTTTGCGGGAAAATACGGTAATCCTCAATTTTAATCGGTGAATCGTTTCATGTCCAGTAAAGGCTTTTTACCCAAGCTTAAAACACAACATCCCACAATTGCTTTAAACACAATATAACAGCTATCCCCTTATGTGCTAATCAAGTATTTACGAGCTAACAATTGCGCATAATTTACGTGTTGAATAATGGGAAGTGTAATAAAGTGGGACCGACTCAATCCATCACCCACTCCACAGTCAATTTGTACTTTATTGACAATTCATTGGACTCGGCTCGCCATGGTAACTTGGAATTTCCATGGTTGCTCCGGCAGGGCTGCCGGCAGCACTTATCGCCGTTTTATGCCTCCCTCTACAGGACAACCTCCGGTTACTTTGCATCGCCAAATGGGGCTCATTTCACTGATGCCAGAGGGATGATGGTGATTGAGGGCGACGTGGAGGATAGGGCCGAGATAACTTTGGCCAGGACTTTACAATTGGAAACCCTGCTGCTCTATCATCGTTACCATTCCGCGCCGTACGGGTTGATAATGTTCAATGGGGCACGGCATTGCAGGGACACGTGTGTACACACAAAGAGGTCCAGAACTGGGATGAATTTCATGGGGAAGTGCGCCCAATGGGCCGTGTGACGGGACGCGGGTCTGAAGGATTGGCCGTGCTCCCTCACAGGTCACGGCGGCTGGGTTCGACCCCCTGCTGCAGTTCGCCTACACGGGGAAGCTGTTCCTGAGCCGCGACAACTTCGCGGACGTGGCCCGCTGCGCGTCGCTCCTGCGCGTCCACGACCTCGAGGAGTCCTGCTTCGAGTTCCTCGCCTCCAAGCTCGCGGGCCCTCGCGATGGTCCCGCCACTCCCACCGGCGGCGCCCCGTCCACCTGCCCCCTCCCCCTCTCGGACCGCGTGCGCTACCAGCAGGCCGCGGCGCGGGGGTGGGACGGCCGAGGCGACGAGCGGGGGGACGGCGGCGCCGCGCGCTCGCCGGCGGCGCCCTACCGGCCCGCGTCGGCCTGCGGCCCGGTCCAGGTCCTGTGCGGCGTGGCCGGCGGCTGCGAGGAGGCCGCCCCGGGCGGGCCGACGCAGCGGTGCGTGCAGAGGCCCCGCAGCCCCAATAGCCCCGAGTCGCGCTGCGACCGTGAGGAGACGCTCGCGAAGGACGAGCGCCCGGATGCCAGACTAGCGTTCGTGACGCCACATTACCAGAACTCCCAGAGGTGCGGCCTGACCCCGCGGGCCGTGCAATGCCAGCGCCAGCCTCAACGTCCGGGCGACGTCGGTCAGGAGGATCTGGCCAGCGAATCGCCCCTAGGCAGCTTTGCTAATTCATCGCCGTACTCGCAAACGGACGCGGCCAAGGCCAGCATCATCACCTGCCCGCAGGCCTCCGCACGAAGGTTCTGCGGTTCTCGGGAGCCCCGGTTCTCCCCGCAGCGGAGTACGGGGACTCCCGAGTACGGAGGGGAGAATGCGCATGAGGGGGGAGTGGGTTCGACGGCGCCCGAGAAACCCTGCGGGCCGCCGCCCATGATGTGCCCGCTGCGGGACCCCGACGCCTCCGTCACAGTCATCGTCAGCTCCCCGAGAACCGGCATCAGGTTTCAGGCCGGCGTGTGCGAGTCCGCCAGAGACGCCCCGGGCACGGAATTTCCTCCCCCTGTGTGCCCCCGGTCGGAACGGCGCCCCGTGGACTTCTGCCCCGCGTCGAGATCCGTGAAGACGGAGCCGCAGCAGCAGGGCGAGCACGGCGCGCCGGGGGTTGGCTGCGACGTCGCGCGGGAGGACTCGACGTACCCGAGGCTCGTCGACCGCCACGTGGGCACCGCCGCGTGTGACGCCCCCGGCAGGGACGTGACGCGGATACGGTGCTCGAGGAACGACGCGGGCGACGCGCTCTCCCTCTCCAACCTGTGCCCCAAGTACCGCAGGTTCCAAGAGGCCTGCCGGCAGGAGCAGGGCTTCGGCGGCTCGGTTCGCCTCGAGGCGGCGTCCCCTGAGTGGTGGACGGGCTCGAAGGAACACTACGGCGACTCCGCTTCGGCACCTTCCAAGCAGGAGTCCAACGCATCTCAGGCAGCAACCAACGAGGATCGGCACGTGACGAACTTTGGCGTCAAGGAACAGGTTTCGCCGGAGGGGATGGACCTGGAACACACCGTGTCGCAAGAACCTTCAATACCTACTACCTCTCGATTACCACCTCAGATGGACCCCAGGAAAAACTTCCTGTGCGGCCAAGCAACCTACAGTTTGCAATCGTCTTGCCAGCCAGGTGCCCGGAGCCCTCAGTACCCACTTACCTCAGGCTACAGTCCCTCGGCTGTCGTGTGTCCGCTCAGGGGCCGCACCGTGGATATCACTTGGGAGGCCGTCGGGGATTTCTCTCTCCCTCCGGCACGCCGTCGCTCCTCGGACACTCCGGCCACGGAGACGGAATCCAGGCGGGGGAGCGCGGGCGAGGAAGCGGCTTGCTACGCGCACGCGAAGAGGCACGGCGGGGAAGACGACGACGAGGAGGAGGAAGAGGAGGACGAGGAGGACGACGAGGAGGAGGAAGATGCGGCGGCGGTGCCTGCGGAGCGGGGCCTGTGCGGCGGAGAGAGCAGAGGGTCCAGCGCGGGGCCCTCGCCCATCAACCTCTCCCTGCCGAGCCACGAGGCGCCGGTGCCGCCGCCGACGCGCCGGCTGCCCCCGCTGTCCTCTGCCGTGCAGTTCGAGCTGTGCCCGGTGCTGCGGCGCTGGGAGCCGGGCCCCGTGTGGCACGGGGACGACGCCCCGGGGCCTCGCCTCTGTTCCCCCCCGCCGGCTCAGCAGTGCCCAGCCTCCGCCGCCGCCGCCGCCGCAGCCGCAGCCGCTTCCTGCGCGTCATGCACCAGATACCCAGCGCTGTCCGCCAGCCACTCCGGGGACGAGTCGGACTCGTTCTCGGACGACGAGAGTGAACTTTATACGTCGCAGGAGCAGGACATGTGCAAGAAGGAGGTGAGCCCGTGTCATTTGACTGTAAGCAGTCGGGGAACGGTACGACAACCGCCCTGGTCTACAAATCCCTTCTTGGTCTTGCCCCACCGAATCTTGCCCCGCTTGTATCTTTCTACGTCGCCTTCTCCCCCTCCGTTCTCTATCTTTGCCGTCTCACTCTGTTCCTTCTCCTTGCGCACAATCCACGCTTTCGCTCACTTTCTCTTCCTGTCCTCCTTCACTGGAACAAACTTCCCCCTCCACATCAAACAGTCACCTTCGCTCACTCGCTTCCGCTCCTCACTCGGAACTCACCGGTTGTTCCCTAGCTCACTCCACGCCCCCTTAATCTCTCCCCCCTCATAACCGCCCCCATTTTCTTCTTCGTATTCTTGTTTTATGGCTATCACTCATTTAACCCCCATTCATTGAATCCATGCATAATAATTTACTGTCATCAATTTCGCTTTCACCGAATTCAGACATCGCAGATTTCTCCCCCATTGCTTCCTCTCATCTATTTCATTCACCTCATCTCCACCATTACATTCATATGTTTCGTTAATTCTTCGTAAAGCGCCTCGGTTAAGGCGCTATTTCAATTCCTGGGACCTATCTTGCCAGTATCAAAGTATAAGAATAGGTTTTACCCTTTCTGGCAATAAAGCAAGAGGTGTTAAGATGTTCAAACACCAAATAGAAACTTTTTTGCAAGGAACCAAGCCTGCATTAACCACTCACAGTACTTGTGGTGAACATGCAAACAAAAACACGCTCTGGTGATATGTGCATTGCCTTTGAAACGTATTGGTCTACACCAGAGACAGCCTTCTTTAGTGCCGTGTCTCAGCCAGTGTCAGACCAGAGAACAACGCCGCCAAAATTCACAAAGCACTCTCAGGGCATTTATATCTCGGGGTGAACAGCTACAACATGGGACCTTGCAAAAGGTGTCTGTTTGGTGTTTGAACATCTTAACACCTCCTGTATTATTGCCAGAAGGGTAAAACCTATTCTTATTTACATTCCTTTAAGATGAGATAATATTCTTAAACAACATTTGTTTCTATTGTGCCCTCACTTTCGGTTGGTGGTGAGAGAGAGGTCGTCTCTTGTAGTCGGCCGTTGGGGCGTACAGCTGTAACCCAGAGCTTTGTAGAAGAGAGGTCGGTGTAGTGGATTGTATTGTAGGTCCTTTGGGGGTCACGAGGCTAGCAGAACACACGAGTTGGTGAAGCCATTTGCACAGACCTCTGCGTTGTCCTGTCCCACGCGTGAGCTACGAAAAACACTCGTCTACAAATGTATTGGCCAAATATCTAGATGTAGAGAACCCTGCTCAAAAAAGTATCGAGACACTCAGGCTTTCGTCGATTAACCCCACGGGTGTTTTCACAGCTGCTGGGCACAGGGCCCCTAAGGCCCGAGAAACACAGCGGGCCATCAACAAACAGCACTGTTGCAGGTGCAATAGATGAGAGCTGATTGTCCTACCTGGCTCATTTCAGAAAGGCCCCTCTGCACCTTGTCCATTGCACCGACCACCTTGCCATTAAATTTTGATTTAAAGCTTTCGTGACTGCAGTAATTCATATTCTTAGTTTTTTCGGTAAAGTCACGTTGAAGAGAAACAACAAAATAACAAAATATATATAAAACAATAAAAAATTCTCACGACGTTTCGACCATAACTCAAACGGTCATCATCAGGTGTGTTGGTTTGCATAAATTTATTTTTAAACGGCACATTTATTTATTTATAAAAAACGTTGGCGTCACGCGCAGCGATTGGCAGTTTGCCCAGGACTAGTCCATCTATTTTTTTTTTAAAAGAGGAGGGGGGAGACGAATTTTTTTTTTATATATAATGTATGCTGTCTGAAAGCCACTGTAAGCGTGAACAATCAATCAAGAACTGAAATGATTTATCAAATCTTTCCAATGATTGCTAAGATAGAATCCATCTTCTCGGTTGAAATTGTCTCTGTGCTTGTATATGTGGATAGCCTCATGAACGAATCTCTCATGGAAGCCAGATGGCTTACAAAGAACCTCCCACCTTTCTCCAGTTATAGCTAACATTTTCATGGAGAAATTTGAGACTGACGCCATCCAGACTGCCACTCTGCGCCCAACCTTATGGAAGAGGTACGTGGATGACACTTTTGTCATCTGGCCACATGGCCGGCCTGCTCTAGACCAATTCTTCGACCACATCAATTCTATACACCCAGCCATCAGATTTACCATGGAAGTCGAAATAGATGGCAAGATACCTTTTTTGGATGTCCTAATTAAAAAGAGACCTGATGGTTCAATGAGCCACTCTGTCTACAGGAAAGCTACCCATACGGATGCTTATCTGAAACCGGATTCCCACCACCATCCATCACAGAAGAATTCTCTCATCAAGACTCTGTATCATAGAGCCCAATGCATATCCGACCAGGAACACATAAGCAGTGAACTCAAGCACGTACACCAAGCTCTTAGGGCTAATGGTTACTCCGACTATACAATCCGCAAAGCTATCACTCAAACCATGAAGAAGAACCCTCTTGAGGAGCCTTTCAAAACCATCACTTTACCCTACATTGCTGGGATCACAAAAAAGATCTCCAAAATCTTGAATAAACACAAGATCCAGGTCCGTTTCCACACATTACATAAAATCCGTGATCTGGTTCCGTCTGTAAAAGATGTGATTCCGGACATACAATACCCTGGTGTCTACAAACTAAGTTGCCTCTGTGGTAGTAGTTACATTGGAGAAACCAAACGCCATGTCTCGGACCGCATTCGTGAACATAAAGCAGACCTTAAACACGGTAGGACCAACACCTCGGCCGTAGCAGATCATTGTTCTAATTCAGTAGGCTCACATGCCATTGACTTTTCCAAGACGGAGGTTCTTTGTAAGCCATCTGGCTTCCATGAGAGATTCGTTCATGAGGCTATCCACATATACAAGCACAGAGACAATTTCAACCGAGAAGATGGATTCTATCTTAGCAATCATTGGAAAGATTTGATAAATCATTTCAGTTCTTGATTGATTGTTCACGCTTACAGTGGCTTTCAGACAGCATACATTATAAAAAAAAAATTCGTCTCCCCCCTCCTCTTTTCAAAAAAATAGATGGACTAGTCCTGGTCAAACTGCCAATCGCTGCGCGTGACGCCAACGTTTTTTATAAATAAATAAATGTGCCGTTTAAAAATAAATTTATGCAAACCAACACACCTGATGATGACCGTTTGAGTTATGGTCGAAACGTCGTGAGAATTTTTTTATTGTTTTATATATATTTTGTTATTTTGTTGTTTCTCTTCAACGTGACTTTACCGAAAAAACTAAGAATACACCTTGCCATTGTTTCCCCGCGTGGCCTCACGTTCGTGTGCTCGTGCGGCCACCAGAGGGGTCCGGGCACTTCAGCACGCACGATGCCACGCTCACTCCGCTCACCATCATATCATCATCCTCAGCAGCAGCAAGGCTCTCTTTATCATCATCATCATCAGCAGCAGCATGGTCTTAAAAAAGAGGCCTCACACTCGGTGAGGTTTTCATGGATACGTCAACGATATTCCTTGCATTAAACCACCGGTTTACGGCCGCTTGCACCCACGAACGTTGTGCGGCAGATGAAGCTGCCCTTCCCCATGGAGAAGATCTCGCGGCTCCCGCGGAGCGAATTCCAGGAGCTGCTCAAGATGCACGCGCTCACCCCCGAGCAGCTCGACTTCATCCACGACATGCGCCGCCGCAGCAAGAACCGCCTGGCGGCGCAGCGCTGCCGCAAGCGCAAGCTGGACTGCATCCACAACCTGGAGACGGAGATCCACAAGCTGGTACCCCCGCACGCAGCCACGGCCCTCCGCATGCCGCGTCTCACCCTCCGGTTTTATCACCTGGGAGCCGGCTCGCAAACGTGGCGCAAGCGTTCGGCCGTGCTCATCGTCGTCATCATTGGCCGTCGTCAATCCACTGCTTTTGAAGGCCTTCCCAATCCACCGCCTCTCATGAAAGTGTTATTATCGCGGTATGCACGGTTAATATCCGTCCGTCCCTCCGTGTCAGCTCCGGGTTCGGAGGTCGGCGGTCAGTTGCACGCTGGCACTTTCGGAACAAATTTTTGCTCGCCGCTCGTCGCGGCGTTCGCCGCGCTGTGTTCACTCGTCGTTGTCGCGCGCTTGCCTCCGGTTCACGTGCGCCGTCGGCCTCGGTGGCGCCTGCTCGCTAACCGTGCGCTCTCGCCCGCACTGTGCTCGTGGCCACGGTGGCGATTGCAGTGCAAGGAGAAGGACCGCCTGCTGGTGGAACGCGAGCACCTCCGCGTGTGCATGGACGAGCTCTACCACAGCTTCACGGGGCTATGCCGGGAGCTGTGCCAGGGCGTGCAGAACAACCCGGCGCACATGCAGCTCTTGGGCCAGTACATGTCTCCCGGGGGGCGGCCCCCCGAGCCCCCCGCCGCCGCCCGCCACCTACAGCAGCCGTCCGCGCCTCCGGTCGCGCGGCGCGGTCTCGGCGGCGCGAGGCCGCGTCGTCCCACGGGCGCCGCCGCTATGGAGGAGGGCGAGGGCGGGGATGGCGGCGGCGGCGGCGGCGCTCACGAGGCCGAGGTGGGAGGGGCGGCGTCGGAAGCACCGGTTCGCGACGCCGATAACCGCGAGGACGGCGGAGGAGGAGGAGGAGCTCTGGGGAGGAACGACGGTGCCGGGTAGCCCCGGGCAGGGCACGTTTGTGAATCGGTGCCGGTGGGGGGGGGAGGCGCTACGTCAGGCGTGAGGTGGCGATTCCCCCTCCCTCGAAACGAAAGCAACGCGGAAAAACAAAACCCCCGGCGGTTTGCTTTTTTTTTCCCGTGTGGAGCGGTGGCGGTGGTCCATTTTACCGGTGGGGGGAAAGAAAAATCGATGCTGAATGAGCACTACGTGTGGTCACGCGGTCGGTGCTACTCTTCTCACCAGCATATCTCAAGGGGGGCCATCCCAGCAGCCTCGCACACTTTCAAAGGGCTCTACCGTCAGGGAAGGCCTTGTCAATCCGCGAGCCTTCACAAAGTGATGTTTCGTCCAGGAGAAAGGATGCGTCGTTCGCCCCGGCCTTTTTCTTCCTACGTGAAAACTGCCTGCAGTTCCATCGAAAGGCACGAGCAGTGATGTTGCTGTTAAGATTATTAACAGTTACCGGGTCCACAGAGCGTTTCTTGCCAGTTGTACTCATATATTGGGACTAATTTTCCTGTAATGTATCAACATCTGTTTCAGTAATGAGCCATTTTTTTCTTTTCCATGGGCCAGGCCTACGTGGACTGCTGGGAGTGCGGGGGGGGAGCATTGTAAATCCCGACCTCACCTGGTGATTTTTACGGGCGACTCGTGACAATAGCGGTGAGATTCAGGCACCTTCGGGTTGCGCTTGCAACCCTCAAGTGTCTATGGCGAGTCTGCAGAATCGACGGTTTGAAAAACCTAACGGTACGTCACTAAATTCCTGTGACGTCACCTTCTGCAAGAGATCCGTCGCTGGTCGCAGGCGTTCGTGGTTCTAGCCCAGCGGCCGCCCCTATTATACTGCGGGTGGATTAACCACGAATACGTGCCGTCTGCTTCACGGTGGACGTTAAAGATCCACCCCCCCCCCCTCCCGTGACGTTTGGCAACGTGTCCCGTCGTCACTATGCAGGTAGAAACATTACTCGCACGTTACTTAACTGGGAGCAACCACCCACCAACATCATCCCAGACTTATGCCCTTTTGCAGGCCGGCACTGCATTACACCATTTTGCCGCCGAGTAGGGTAGAGCTGCCACCGGGGGACGGGGGGGGGGGTCTCCGTGGCAAGCCCCTGGCAGCAGGGCATTGAAATGAGATGTGACGTGATGCAAGGTGCTTTTGGGTTTTCCGAGGCGTCGACGTGCACTACAAAATGCAAAATCCGTATCCTTTAAAAGCCATCACCAGTTGGCCACCAAGCGGTTTGAAGAGCGGGCGTGGAGGGGGGAGGGGGATGTGTGGACGACGGAGGAGACGATGGTCTTGGCAGGTCGCCCGCGCCAGGGAGACTTCGCCTGACTCTTTGGGTGGGAATGGCCACTGTGACAGGGCCGGAGAGGGAGACACTACGTTTGCCACGTCCGTTGGGCCGCTTGAACCCCGCCCCCCCCTTTTTTTTACTGCGAAATAACTATCGCGACGATCGCCCGGTGGTATTGTCGGGCTTCGAGGGATATTAAGGTCCTTGTCAACGGCGGCGCAACAACCTCGACAATTTGTTGCCGATTCCCGTTGAAAGAAAATATTTTTTAATATATTTGTTTGCTTACGAAGCGAGTTGTGTACAACACACAAATGCCATTTTAAATTTGCTTTCCCGAAAGCAAACTCCCTCGAAAAACTAAAAAGATCAAACATTTTGATGCGAAAAAGGGGATGGAAAAGAAGAACGTGTGTACGTGCCTGTAAAACATTTTACGAGTTCAGGTTTCTTTTTTACATTGTTGTCATGTCGCTTTTTTTTTAAGAATGTAACTTTTTGCAAGCCCTGTGCGCATAGCACGTGCACCCACACACACAGTCATTGTCGAGGCGATTTACCATTTCAGGGTTCTTGCGTTTTTATTCACAACGCGGGTGGAGCGGTGGGGCGGGGGGCTGTGATTGCGCCTGGCGGGGAGGGTGTCGTCGGGGTGTCCGCGGTCTCGCAGCGCGTGCACGCGTCCACTCGGAGCCTGGCTTGCGTGCGTCGCCAGCGCCGGCTGCGGAGGGAGGCGCGCGTCATGCCAGACATCACCCCCCTTCCCACAGTGCCGAACTCGGGTTGCCAACGGGATATTTAAGCACGACGAAAATGGGATTTTGTGTCTGCCGCACACCCTGCAATCCCAGCGTCTTGGGAGGCCAGGGTTGGCGGATCACGTGTCGATGGAGTCATTATGTGTGTGACGGCCCCGTCTGCTTGGCAACGGAAGGCGGCGGCTGGCTGCTGTAGGAAGCGGTGAAGCCGTCTCTGGAGGGTTTTATCCTCTTTCCTATATTCTCCTGGCACTCCGGCTTTTCATAAAAATGCGAAAATAAATCAAACATAGTTGGCCGAATGTCCACAACTATAGATCGGGTTTTTTTTCTGAAAGGCTTGCCAGCAGCTGTGTTTGTAAAAAAAGCACTTGGCTCTGCCAAACTCACCTCACCTCAACAATTAGCTCCTCCAGACATAATACTTAATATTCCTGTCATTTCCGTAGCAATTTATAAAGGAGTAATTGATCAATGGCTGTGTCGCTGTATATAAATAAAATATTAAGCATTACTAACTTTATAGTTTTTTCACAAAAAAAAAACAATTGTTTTTTATTTACATTTCACAAAAATACAACTTATTAAATCCAAGCAACTGGAAGTCTTGCCAAAACTGCCTCGTATGTAAAGATTGTCTCTCATTTTGAAGGCGTCAATACACCTTTTTTAAACCTTTTGGGAAGATTTAAATTAAATTCAAATACCCTCGCGGTTGTGTCGCAACAAGACGTTAAATAGTTTGTTCACTTGATCACCACGGGTCCCTCAGTCGGTTTATTCTCCGCGATGACGTTTGCTCCGAGCTTGGCTTACGCGCGAGGCGTCCGAAAGGAGTTGTTCTCGCGCTTTCGCGGCGCTGGCCCAACGCCGAGCGACACGGCGTTGGCCGTCCGTCGGACTGGAGACCCGACACAGACTGCTGTGGCATGTTTTTTGCGCGCCCCAGTCGTGAACGCAAAAGTAACGGAACTCATTTGTGACTTCACTGTTGCTTGATAAACCACGCCAGCAAAGCTGGGTGAGAAGTGCCCTTTTTGCAGACTCCGCTTGACAATGTCTGTGGGGGCCCCCCTTCTATGGCTACGTAGTCCCCTCAGTCTTTTGTACTCATTTCTTGTTTTACTTGTGACTCGTAAGAACCGTTTGATAAAGAGCCCGTGGAGCAGACCCTCAGCGCGGCAGTTTCTCCCGTTGGCTGTTGTTCTGCTGGAAATTGGCAGTCAATTTCCTCTTCAGCAACATGAATCGCCCCACAACCCCCCGCGTTAGCGGGGCCAGGTATCGAACGGTCTATTCAAAATGCTAAAAATTCTGTCAGAGAGGCTTGTCACGTTTCAAGTGCACCCTTTTTTCTGGTGATGTAAACGTTCCTTGGGATGTCATCAACAGCGAGCCTTCAGTTCTCGGGCAGTAATGCTCTCAGGTTATCAATTCGTTACCAAATGTTAATGGTCACACGGTTTTTTTGTGGTTTCCATTGTTGCGGATTCTCTTTTTTTTACAGTGTAACAGACTCGTAAGTCTTAAACATTTGCAATTACTCCACTCGGGCAGGCTTTTATCACAAAACCCGCGTCGCCCTTGTCACTGCAAACAATTACAATCGAAGCAGACAAACTTTCGTTTTTTGCTTCCTCTCAACAATATGTGACTGCGTGTTTTTCCCGTCTTATCTCCCGCCGGCCACCTGCCTAAGAAAAAAGGAAAGGATAACAACAACAAAAACAACAACAAGGGGCTCGAATCAAATTCGTTGGGAGCCGCGTGCCCGAGGCGCCGCAGTCAAACTGCTCTGCCGCTTCGCTCGTGCTGCCCCCCCCCCTCTCCTCTCGCCACTTTCCGACCTGCGCGTCGCGGTCATTCCCATTCGGCGGTTTGACACTTTTGAGAAGGCCAAAAAAACCGATCCTCCGCCCGCGGCCCGCCCGCCACTTCGTGCCGCAGCCCCCCCCCCCCCCCCAACACTGCTCGACAGCGGTAAAATTGTGCAAGGAAGTTGACGATTCTGGCAACGGACCCCCATCCGTCGTGCGCTGGAGAAGCGACCGTTTCAAGACGCATCCTCCTGTGTATCAGTGCGGTGTTGAGGACTCATGGCGACGGGCGTTGGTGTTTGCACAGAGGAGGAATCGTTGGCCGAATATATATTTATATATTTTGGTGGATGCACGCTTCTGGAAGGAATGTGTTCTGCAGTGCTGCCTAAATGACATAAAGGATCATTGGCACGTTGAGTGCAAAATAAGGATAGAGAAGAGGATGAGACGTTGTGGTAGCGGTGACGTTGCCTCCCATGTGGTTACTTGGATGTCAAGTGGAGGGTTCACACAGGGAATGGAATCCTGAATCGCCGGTCCTCGCGAGAGTTTGACGTTGTGAGATGCCCACCTGGGAACATGAGGTGCTTCATGAAGGCGGTAGTACAGCAAGCAGGTTCGCTTTGCAGTCATTCTCCAGAACTCAAGAGATTTGTCCAGGCCGTTTGGTTTCCTAATTATTTTTTCGATTGAAAGGTCGTAAGACTCGGGTCTTGCCGGGTGAAGATGTTAATCCTTCGTAAACATTGTAGAGGATTTGCTCAAGTACTCGTTGGGGGCCTGTGAGTGTCACCTGCACTCGCCCCCCCCCCCCTCCCGCATCGTCAGAAATCTGTACACCCACCAACAGCACCAATAGCAGGGTGCACCACAGGCAGCTCGGGTTATCCACAATACCCCTTTTTAAGAGTTCTTTAATTTCACTTTTCAAGTTAGCTTGTAGCCGCAGTGTGAGTAGTGCGTGTTTTATTTCCTATATTGTCACAACATGGCAGCTGGGCTGGCTATATAGCCCCTTTCCACCGCACGGCGACCCGGGTTCGATTCCCGCTCACGGCCAACACCGGTGACGATTATTTGAACCGGTCCTGGGCCTCCCCTAGGTCGACTCGGCCTCAAATGAGTACCTGGTGCGATGTGTAAGCATCACCACTGGGGAGACAAAGGCGGTCGGGCGTGGTGCTGGCCACCCACGCCCTCGTGTAACGTTCCGGCCTTCATAGGTGCTCGCTAACAGCACTTACCCCTCCAGTCTGTTAAGGCTATACGGGGGATCTTTGTCTTTTTGTAGCAGGTAGTTTCCGTTGCTGTACTGCGTGATACGGATAGCCACATTTCCTGGTCCTTATTTTAGGGTGAACAAAAAATGTCTGGATTGCAAGTGAAACCCAAATCTGGAAAAAAACACCACTCACGCCAGCACTTGTGGGTTCACTCGCAGCCTTGATGGAGCCCCCATCTGAGCACTGCTTGATGGTCCACGCGAGTGGTTTGGAACCCCCCACCCCAGTGGCTCTCCTCCCATCGTCGCTGCAGCACTGCGGGAGTTATGAGCACGACGTTGCGCACGCAGGGCCAGGCGGCAGCAGCAGCAACAAACCTGACACTGCCATCTCGTGGACACATTCTCTGTCAAAACGCGCATCGCTGTTTGACAGCTGTACATTTTAAATGGGCAAAGGCAACATTTGCTTTGATACAAAACATTTGCATTGTCAAATGTCTTCGCGTTTGCAAGTTGAGTCCAAAAAATAATGATGATCAAAGGTCTCTCTAAATATTAAATATCCAAGTACGGTTGATGTTCATCTATTCACTGGTAAACTATCTTAATGGGGCATTGTCTTATCAAGCAGTGTTAACAGGTCTGCCAGTCAACATGACAAAAAACTTTACTTCATTTGTAAGCTCTGCCCCTTGCACTTAGGCATTGCAGGCTGCACGGCCGCACAGGGCCTGCACACATTCGGCACTCGCGAAGCAAGGGTGAAGTTATTTATGAACTCCTATCCGTGGTTGGGTCTACCGAAATCCCAAGGGGTTTCCACAACACCAACTTTGTTTCTCCGCCAACCCGCGAACTTTCTCCACGTTTACTCTTGAGGTGTTTTTGTGGACCCCCCCCCCCCCCCGCCACGTTGCAACATTAACATTCTGCGAGTAAGTAGGCGAGCAGTGAAGCGGGTTTAGATTTGGTGCCGGAACGTGTTTGGAGAAGCGCAGGATTCTGTCAGTGCCCCCCCCCGGGTTCTGTTCGCCAACCACATTGGTGGGTCTTTTTTAATTTGAGTCCTTTTTAATTTGAGTCGAGGCTGAAGTGGGGGGGACGGCACTGCCTTCCCAAACGCCACTCGCACCTCGGCACCGTCACGAATCGCCGTGCGGCATGCAAAGTGTGGGGATCGTCGCTTTCCTGGATGCGGACCCTTCGATGTGTACCTCGTCCTTTTGTTTAAACAACAATGTGTACTCCGTGCTTACGACTGGGTTTGTTTCCGGCAGCCCACGATATTCCAGTTTGAAAACCGCTCATTTCACTCGCCAGGAGGTGTGGAGGCTTCCACGAGTGACTGCAGGGCTGCGTGGTCTGCACGTATTATTCATCCCAGTGTTCCAGACGCCCCCCCCCCGAGAGTTGAGCATCGACTCGTATTGGAGAGCGGAACGTACGTTTAGCTCGTATGAGTTTCTGTGTCGGTGGCGTTTTACGCACAGTTTCTTGTTTCAGTGTTATGATGGCATGCAGCTTTTCCACGAATTTTTAAGAAATTAAACAAAAAAAACCAAAGGCACTAACTACAAAGTAACACTAAGGTATTGAAAAGCAAAAACTATATATTGCACATGTAAATATCACTTGCGATTGAATGCATTGAAGAAGTGCATTTAAGCATCCTTGTCCCCGACTCGTCTTGATGCTCCTGTGTGCGGTGTTGATTTCACTGTCCCTCCGAAGCAAAGTATAACAGCTTCATTATCGTAATTGTATTCAAATTCCGAACTAATTTCTGCCCCCTAATGTTTACAAGTTAGCACCTTAAATGGAAGAGCCGCTATGCTTGATTGCTATTATAAAGGTCACATCATAATTGGTAACTTATCATCCTGTGAAACAAGGAAATGTAATTATGGCACTGAGCAAATGTAACATTACATTTATTAATATATGTAATAATTTTTTTAATGTGTTTCTAAACACAAATAATTTGTTATGTTATCCTTTTGAAATGTATATGCTTCAAGCCTTTACAAGGCATCCCTTACCATGGACGATAACACGTGCTCTGACTGTGTGTGTGTGTGCTCTTGCTGCTTTGAGGCGCCTATCTCTTCTCGAACTGACGTTTCCTTTCTTGTGCCGCGTTTGTACCGTTGCCCCATAAGCATCACGGTGACTGTGAGATGTTAACCACTTCCCCTGGTATACAGGTGGTCGTGGGTTCGATCCTGACACTGACGCCTGCTGCTGTGTATTTGGAGTTTTCTTCTCTCCCCGTGAGTGCGTGGTTTTTTTTCGAGTCCTCCGGTTTTTCCCTCAACATTTATAAACATGCGTTTCCAGAATTTGGCCGCTATACATTTCCACATGATGATAAGCCACTTCGTTGAGGAGCTGTCGTTTGTAATCAGTTCGCTTCTGAAAAAGATCTCCAGTATATGTAGCTGAGTGCGTCTTAAGCTGGTCAAAGAAAAAATAGTTTTAGTTTAGCTGTGGCCAGAAGCCTTTCTGTGAAAACTCGTCCAATCAGAGGTCGCCTGATTGCGGAAAAATAACTTTCCCCCTCCTCCACTTATTTCCTACTTCTTAGAAACGAAGTCTGGCCCACACTGTTACCTGGCGGTGTGACGACGTTATAATACTCGACTCACTGTTCACACCCAGTGGAGTCGAGTGGGACTTGGGGCTGCCTCGTGCTCGCTTTGCCACACGTAGAGATTCCTGACAAACCACTAGGCGAGCGCGTTCAGAACCGACACCGCTGTCGGATCAGGCCCGCTGTATTATAAACATATCAAGCGGCCTTTCAACATAGCCTCTTGAGTGTTTGAACACCCGCTAATGGCTGCTGTGCTTGGTCGAGGACAAAGGCATTGCTTTGGGCAAGCCACTACAAGCGATGTCTATGATCGACCGATCCCACACCTTTGGTAGGTTCGTCATGTCGCCTCGTTCAGATTCTCGGAACATGAAATGCGTTCTTTCCGTGGGGGGACGAGTCGCAGCCCTTATAAGTCGCCAACAGAGCAGGGAAGATCTTCCCGGTAGTCGCCAGCCCCCACTCCGTCTTCCATTGTAAATATTCCTTTCACCGAACACTTGCGGTGCCTGTTAGGACAGAATATAAACTGTAGAGTCCCACGAGAGAAAGCAAGTGTTTGTAAAGTCTGTGACATCTCGAACGTAATAATAACTGCTTTAAATCTGTGGGTTTTTTCGATGATTGTGTCAAATTCTCGGAAATTCTTGTACAAAACACGGCTTGGGTCATTCGTGATGCATCTCAGAGCTGGCGGCCTGCGCTCGTTAATGCGTCCGCGTTACCACGACATCAGCATCTGAATATTTATACTGGAGGAATCCGATGAGCTATAAAGCTCTTTTTCATAGATGTCCAGTCTGGGCGAGTAAGAGCACAACACAACAACACGTGATAGCAGTGCAAAGTACATGAAAGGTCAACAAATCACACAAACAAATACAACACTAAACCATCCCCATCTTCCCAAACAAAGCCCACTGAGGTATTCACTTTTTTTAAAATGCGACCTGGCCACAAATGGTAGCTCAGCAAAGTGTCTTGTCATTTGGACATTTGCCGCAGCAGAATTATCTGAAAGGCATGTTTCTAAATGTGCAGGGAAAACCTGGAGGACCCAGAGAGAAAAAAAACCACGTCAGGGTCGGGATCGAACCCACGACCTCCTGTAGACCAGGCGAGGTAGTTAACATCTCGCCACCGTGATGATGATGAGAGACTCCACATAGACCTCCTGTATACCAGGCGAGGTAGTTAACATCTCATAGCCACCGTGATGATGATGAGAGACTCCACGTAGACCTCTTGTAGACCAGGCGAGGTAGTTAACATCTCCTAGACACCGTGATGATGATGAGAGAGACACGCAAACTCCAAATATACAGCAGGCGTCAGGGTCGGGATCGAACCCACGACCTCCTGTATACCAGGCGAGGTAGTTAACATCTCCTAGCCAACGTGACGGCGGCCCTTAAATACATGAAGTATTCAAGTTCAAATTGCATCATCAATTCCCAAGCGTCCGCGTTACCCCGACAGCGTTAAAGAGCCAACACACAAGACACGCCGTCCCCCCGTGTTGCCGCTTTACTGCAGACCACAACACACGAAGCACGCACGTGCGTTCCCAAGAGATGCTGTCAATGCAGGATCCTTTGCCGCTTTTTAAATTG